TCTAGAAAGTTCCAGAGACTTGCTTCTAGAAGGTTCTGGAAACTTGTCTCTAAAAGGTTCTAAGGACTATGTCCCTAACATCTTCTACTAATTAGGAAGCTTCTCAAGCAATTTCCATCAACTAGGAAGCTTCTAGAAGGTTTCAGAGACTTGCTTCTAGAAGGTTTTAGAAACTTGTCTCTAGAAGGTTCTAAGGACTATGTCCCTAACACACTGATGCAAAATGATTTTTTTGTCAAAGGCTTAAAATTTTAATTTTTGAAGAATGAACTTTATCATGTTCACCAAATGCTTATGTAAATGCTGCCAAAAATGCTTCAAAATTATACAATATAGGAAAATTATTTTCAAATAATAGAACAAACTAAGATAAAGCTTGCCATGAGAGCAAAGTTCCACCCAAACCAATACAAGATGCTTTAGTAGAATATTGTTGAGGTTGAAGCAAGATGATTAGTTGTACTTGGTTTACAAAGCCACAAAATTTTGAACAGATGCCATCAAACTTTTTTGGAAGGCTAATCCTTAGTTCTTTTGCTGTTATTCTTCTCAAATTATTGCCTTGAGTAGATGCACCGTCCATTTTTGTTGAAACATAAATAATTATTTGAGAATTTGGAACTTCTATTACTATTTGATGTAGTGGTTGAGACACTCCAGCTCCTTGACTTTTATGTATGGTCATATATAGTTCTTTATTTTGCTTCAACAAAGTCTCTGTCCTAATCCTCAATGCTTCAAGAATATTAATAATAAAATCTGACTTGATCTCTTTGGAGTTTGTCATATTGACTTTTCCACCTTCTTCCATAGAAAATCAAAGAAACGTATACATTTAAAAAAAAAAGAAAAAAAAAAGAAAAAAAAAAATGATGTATGATATAAAGAAAAAACTAAAGAATATTAAGAAAAGAACAATATTAGTCTAGAGGAAGGTAATCCGCAACCTCTAGAATGCTATAGTATTTTCAAAAAGAAGGATAATCCACTCTCTGTCAAGAAAGACCAAGCATCTAATATTATTTTATGGCACTATCAACAAACAGTCAAGAACCGTATATAGGACAAGGATTTAAGACCAAGAAATAGAGTTAGCTTGACATTAGAATAATAATTGGATACAAGGTAAGAAGGTCCTAGCTAAACCATAAGAAGTGAGTTGTAAAGATTGAAGATTCCCTCAGCTTTGACTCTTATATATACTAGGTTCCAGGAAGCTTTTTAAAAAGTTTCCATGAGGATTGGGAATAAAGCAAGTCTAAGTTTCTTCTTTGACAACTTCCTAAATCATCTAAAGTCTCTTAGAACCTTCCAAGATCTCCTATGACCTTCTAGAACTTTCTTAGAATCTATTGGAACCTTTTGGAATCTTCTAGGATCTACAAGAACCTCTTAGAACCTTTGTTGGATGTGATGTTATTAAGTTTCTATGCATTTGTGCATAAAAACATCATCATTCAAAATAAAAAATAATATATAATTATAAATTTTAAGTTTTTTTTTTTTTTTTTTGAATTTTATATAATTTTTAGACAAGTGAAATAAACAAGAGATTTGTATATATATTAAGATGGTATTTTCTTAAGCAATAAAAACAAAAGTTCTAATAAAAAAAATATTAGAATAAGTAATAGAAATATGATTAAAAATGATTAAAAAATCTAAATTGGAATTATTTATCATTAAATTTTAAGATTATGAATTTAAATATTATTAGATACAATTGTTTAAATTATGATAGCAATTTCAGAAGTAGGGAAGACATAGTTTTCTATACTAGCAATCTATTCAAAGTCACAAGAGATACTTGAGCCACCTTTGAAAAAATTTATAAGAAAATAGGATTAAAATTTATTATAAATAAATAAATAAATCATCCTTGTGCTTACAAAAGCTTAATTATAAAAGAAATAAAAAGTAATTGGAATCAATTGTATTCTTTGTATATTAAAATTTTCAAGCTATCTTAAAAATCAAAGAATTGAAAGAATTTAGTCAATAATAAAAAAAATCTTCAAAACATAGGATTGATTTACAACTTTTATTGTATTTAAAAAAGAAAAATAAAATAAAGGAATTAATTAATCATAATAAAAAATCAGAAAAATTTAGAAAATGAAAAAGTCTTTCTCTTTGTTTCTTTAAATCACAATAAAAGTATTAAAAAAATATTTATATATTTTAATTTAGAAGCTCTATTTTCTATGTTTAATTTGTATCTAATACAATTTTTTTTTAATTTATACATACTACCCATATATTTTTAGGAATCTTATATTAAGAGAGATAAATCCAATATTTATTTGTAACATTTTAATATCACTAGTTTAATTCTAAATCTAATCCTTATTAGATAATTTTAATTTTTTTTTCTATGAGTTTTTTAATTAATTATGATAACACATACATTACTTTGTTGCATCTACATTCCATATTTCATCTATTAATCAAATTTGAATTCAAATTACTTAAATTTAAATGAACTGAAAATTGAGGCAATAATTCTAATTTTAAAAAATAAAACTCATTTTATGGTTAAAATATATATATATATATATATATATATACAATAAAATGTAATTTTTTTTATTAATATTAATATAATATTTTAGAATTTTTTATATTTAACAATAATTTTTGTATATATATATATATATGTATATAATGTACAATACCTTGATTTGGATCAATATTTTTCTTCTTGGATAAAATAGAAATTAGTTAGTATATTATTAGTTATTTAATTAAAGAATTCAAGTCAATAAATACCACTAGTTCTATTGAATGGCAATATCTTAGCACTAGATAGGAATCAAATTGTTAAAATAGCCAAAAAAATCTCAAAATTTTGGAATTTTTGTAATAAAATTTGAATATGTATGTATATGTATATATATATATATATATATAAAGGAGCCCCTTGTTTTGTTCTAGGAGTAATATGATAAAGTAATGGAGCCTTAAATGATTATGAAAGAGGTAGAAATTAATTGTTATGGAATTTGTTCTTTATAATAATGTTACAATAATAAAATTGAAATAAAGGAATGTATGTATTTCTTGAAAAGTAAACAACACACAATATAATTCAGCCTATGGGAGGTGGTTCTTGGTATCAATATTGGATGTTGAGTCTCTTTTTACATTTCTCATTTATTGAGACACTTGAACACTTGAAATGAATTTATAAATAAACTGATACATGAAGAGAGGAAAAGCACTTTGAAAGGATGCATATACAAATAGACGTATAAAATATTATTTTAATATGCTATGGCTTTAGATAAATTATTAAAATTTGCAATAAAAGACTTGCTTTTTATTTGAGTTTTTTTTATTAAATTAACAGATGATATTAGTTTTATGAAATTTGTAAAATTCTCATGCTTTTTGATAAGAGTACTTCTAAATTTTAAAATCCAACCTACCTTTTAACAAATAACTAAATACAACGTTAAATATATGTGTATATTTTTTTAATGTGCTAAATTAATAATAATAATTGATTCATGTACATATATGTACATAGTACATTAATAATCTAAAGAATCCAAATACACTGATTTTATTTTTATTTTTATTTTTGAGAAAAAAATATCATCTTTTTATTTTTGAGAGAAATATATATACATATATATATATATATATATATATATATATCTTTTTATTTTTTAGATCTGTGATACAATCTTCTACTGTGTGTCTAGGGTGCGGGCAGCATTGTGTGGGTTGCTTGTGTGGTTTGATGTCATTTATTCTCAAAATTGTTTCGAGTATGGGAAATGAACTTGTGCACCGAGAGACGTGTGTTTTGCAGGCTCATTTCAGGGCTTCACACGTCCATCTCCACCCACATTGCTGCAGATTACCTGACGGACAAATCCAGGAATTTTTGGTGGAGGAATACCTCTCTGATGATCGCGTGCGTCAACATCCTGAGCATGTGCAGAACCTCTACTTTACGAACCTCTTCGTTTTGAGAGCCCTGCTGAAGACCGAGAAATACGTGTCCGAAGCTGGGTATTTTACCGGCAATGACGCCGAGGATCATCTTACCCACAAGCTGATGATAGGGTTAGTTGGCAGCGAGCGACTCCGCATCGCGTGTCCCATCCCTTTTAATGAGGCCACAATGTGGGGAAGACCAGATGCCTATGATTTGAAGCCACAGTTGCAGAAGAATTTTCGGAACATTACTGCGTTGATGGATTGCGTCGGCTGCAAGTAGTGCCGGTTTTGGGGCAAGCTCCAAATCTCAGATCTAGCCTAATAATAAAATGCTTATTTGAAAAAATAATAATAATAATAATAATAATGAAGCTGAAGGAACTGTGTTTGCTTCCTAAGCAACTTGAAGACCGGCCGCTTCCTGCAGAGGTCTCTTCTTGTATGATCTCCTGAGACAAGTTCAAAACGATTCAGTGAGGGATGATTACAATCTAAAAACAGTCTACATGAATCATGCAATTGTCTAAGACCAGCACCCACTGGAAATATACGATGGGTATTTCCCCCATGCATGAGAAATAACTCCAGTGCTGCGATCACATTGACACAACCCATACTAATTAAGAGAATTGGTGGAACAGTTGCGAGTAATACAACACTGCAACTGTCACTCTAACTCTCTAAGCGTATTAACCCTTAATCATGACATGGATTGCACTGTCGATGGCTATCACTGTGTTTGTGATGAAAACGGCATCAAAACAGGTCCGTGCCCGGGCAAGGAGAAGAGGGAGAGGGCGGGAATTGTGTCAAGGCAAGGGAGAGAGCGAGGGGATCTGGACACACATCAACACAAGACAAGTGAAAATGGATCTGGATGAATTAATCAGGGATTAATCAGGGATTGGGCGTATGTATATCATAGGTGTGTGTATAGTTTTGGGCATGTGTATGACATAATGGATGTGCTTGTAGCCTGAGCCTTTATGCATTCTCAACCGTTACTGTAAGCTTTTGAAAATCAAATAGTTTTTTGGCAAATGACACACTTCTCTGGTGCAGCCAACTTGTTTGAATTTAATTTAATTTCTTTTCTTTTCAAAACAAACTACTTAAAAATATTGCAGGGAATATGTTTTTTGTAAAGGAGGCCTTGAGACCTCACTCTGACCCTAACCGTAAAAGACACGAACTAGTTTTTCTTTGCAAAGAATCCACCGAAGTGTTGATTGCCACTCAGAATTCCGTGTGAAAGGCATTCTGAAACGTTATTGGGTCATTATGTTGATGGATCTCATGAGTTGGGTGCGAAGAAAAGGGTGAAATTGTTGAGATGTTTGAGCAGATATCAGGAGTGACAATGGACACCAAAGCCCTAAAAAGTCTGCTATTGCCAAGACTTGTGAAAAACGCCGAACGGAAATGCGTGTCCAACTTGAGTCTTATGTGGATAAAACCAAAGAGAAGTTGAACTGATGGAGAAGTCATGGAAAAGAATCATGGTCGAAGAAATCGCCTTACAGTTAGCGGCAGCAGATGTTGTCAAATTCTCCATGTCTTGCTGGGAGACAATACCACCATTTCTGGAGTCTGGTCCCGCTCCCTGCTTCGAACTAGAACCACAGCTCAAATCTACAACAAGAACCCAAGGATGCACAATTGTATGTGCGAATCACATAATTCAGTGAAAAACACATTGCGAAAGAAACCAGGGTTTCCAAGGTGCACCTGCAGAGGTGACAATGTCATAGCAGCGGCAGTCCTTTTCGCAACACAACGATGATGGTGCGACAGTGTCCTGCATCAAGCACATTGTAAATCGCTCGAGTGCTCATGGCTTGACCTAAAATTCCGCAACGACTGAATGGGTTTGTGGGAATCGCATACATTTCAACACTAAGACTCACCATCTGCTCTTCTTCTTCGCTACAACTACTGGGCTGCGGCGATATCGATGCACACCCACCCTGCACCGCCGCCGCCGCCGCCGCAGCAGCAGCAAATCATCAACATCCCCACTTAAAAAGATCGATTAATGGAGTCAGGGTTGGGGAATCAACTGGAGCGTGAGGAACGAGAAGACGTAGGAGAAGAGACAAGTGAAGAGGACGAAGAGGGAAACCAGGAACACGGATCGCGTAACCAACTTCGCATTCATTTCGATGAGAAATCAAAACATCTTGAGACAGTGATCGGAGCTAAACAAATTTCTCGACAATTCACCAACTGGTCCGACTCAATTTGCGCTAATTCTATGTTTGCAATTGTTTCATGATCTGACATTGATTAATTGTTTGTTTGTTTGTTTGTATATTTACAAGAGACAATGACCCAACAACTGCACGTTTGAAGGGTGGTGACCATTGGTTACTAAAATATGATTCATGGAACTATAATAAATCTTGTATGAATAGTGTGTGTTTATTTTTTATTTATCTATTAAAGAGTCATTATCTCAATGTTAGCATTCATTAGGTGAGATTAGAGATTTTAGAGCTTAGATTTGAATTACTAATAGCTTAGTACCAACTTATTATTTTGTTGGTAGTCTAAGATTATTCTAATTTAGTGTGTTTAGTTTTAAGTGGAAGTAATTTTGGATAAAAAAAAGGTTGAATTGGGAAGGTGTTTAATTATGCATTATTTAACTATGTATTATTTCCATGTGAATTAATTTAACGTAGTAGTAGTAGTTGTTAGATTTTAGAGATGTTGGAGCAAGACTTATGATATGTGGTATTAAGAGAGTCTTAATACTTAGAGTACAAGGTCAGAGGCCATAACTTTTAAACTCTTTGATCAATTGGAATTGAAAATCATCACTAAGTTGGTTTTATATTTAGAAAAATTGTCCTAAATGCATTATAGGGAAAAAAAATGAGGTGGAATACATTTCTTTTCCTACATGGCATGAATATATATTGCCCTATATAATTTTTGTTAGGCTCCTTTTAAGAAGTGGTGTTAGAAAAATACATATATATATATATATATACATATATTTTGAGGTGATGTGTGAAAAAATGTTTGTAAGAAACATTAAAAAGTTTTAAATTATCTTGTTTATACTTCTCATAATTGTTTGAATCAATATTTAATGTGGCATATTTGAACTTCTTATAAAAAATGATTTAGTCTATTTCATAGCCTCTTTTCACTTTAAATATATTCAAAAGTAATGGCTTCTTAAGAAGTGTTTTTCTTCACCAAGCAAGTAGCCTTGATAAGACTTTTGAACAATAACCTTTAAAGTGGGATTCTAGGTGTAAAATCTACTGAAAATTCTAAGAATATGTGAATGAGAAGAAAGTAGCATGAAATAATAAGAAGTGCTTCCAAAGAATTCTATATACATAAAAATAAAGATTTATCAATTCGTCATCTATTTCATAAATCAAAGTCAATTAGAGATTTATAATTTATATAATATATTGCAAAAATCGACAATTGTATTCTATTATAACTTTATTTGATTGTACTATTTCTGTCTTTTGTATATTATTATATAAATATTTGTAATATCTACAAGGACAAATGTCAACTTATATCTTATATGTTAAAGCAGAAATGCTTCCAATCTATTTGTATTCATGAGGTTATTAAATGAATAAAAGACTTTATTGACATGATGTCATTGAAAATCAATTTATTAAAGAAAATCCAACTGCTCTACATCCCTCTTTGCACAAAAGGTCCAAGATTATACAAGTATTTTCAAAACTCCAGATAACCAAAACTTAAACAATATTTTATTTAATTCTCAACAATTGGAAACAGATGCAGCTTTTATGTTTTAATCTTTTTCAAAATAAAAATAGTGATAATGAATGGATACATTTTAAAATAATCTTTACTTCTTTATGAATATTGTAATTACCAATATATGAATTTAAATATTTAAATTTAAATTATGTAAAAATTGAAGACATAATAGATTGAGCTCATATAATCCAAATTATTTAGATTTTAACAAATCTGTTTAAAAATTCTCTATTAACATTTTAATTGAAATTACCATTAGTTAATGCACTGAAGATAGTAAAAAGTTTTTATACCTAGGATTATATATGTATATGTATATATATATATATAGTTATTTTTTTGTATTGTATTTTTTTAGACTAACTAAAATAATCAAGTACATTCTCTCATTACATACAAAAGAATAGAACAAGTTGAATACGATGTAACAAGCATCTTAAAATAAATAATCATTGTAGCTACTTCAAAAGATCATAAATGGCCTTAAAAGGTGATATATTTCAAAATCACTGCTTAGCATTGTATGATGCAAAGGAGACATCAATCTCATTTTTACAAAATTTATTAAAATACATACATCATTTTTTACCTACAAAAACATGTACTAAAAATAAATCCATTTTCACTGAATCTATTTGATATATTTTTTCAAAAAATCATTCAAAGCATATTTATAAACAAACTAATTAATCAATATAAAACAACATATTTCTTTCATAGAATATTAAAGTATTCAACATTAAAAATGATTTTTAAAAACTTCAACTATTTGATACTTTTGATATTATTTAACTATCTCATTTTTCATAATTAATAACTTTAATATAAAATTGAAATATGTAATTTTTTAAACTTATATTTATTTTAATAATCAAAATCGAAGAATAAAAAATCATAAATACTCTTTAGAAAAAAGGAAAAGAAAAAAGGATATCATTATTTTTTATTTTATTATTTCATCACTCTAATCATGCATGATATCACTGATAAATTTTTAACCATGCAGGATAAAAAGATGAAAAAAGATTATACTGATGTTTGCACCTTAAGTTTTGAACTTTTGTTCATATTGTTTTAAAAATAGAAATAGAAATAAAAATATATATATATATATATATATACACAAATACACACACACATATTAAATTGATAATTTTTAAGTGCTTTACTTATTAATTTAAATGTAAACGGCCAAAAATAAATATTTATCTATTTGAATGTGTGTTGTTATGAGTCAAGAGTATTAATTAAATATTTTCTATAAGTTTCCTTGAATTGGTTACCATATTTTAAGATGAATAAATTAAGGTTGATCAAAATATGTATGACGGTAATTCTCACTCATTTTATTTTTAATAAGTTAAATAAAAATTATAAGTTTTCTATTTTTTTTAAAAAAGTAAGAAATTATGGCAATTTTAATCTTGTAATTTGAAATATATTTTTATTCAAAAAATATATTTCAATAAATTTATCACAAAAAATCAAAAGAAATAAAGCTTTAAATACACACACACCCATATATATATATATATATATATACATATATATACATATATAATCACACAAATACAATTAGAAAGGAGGTTTGTATCTAAACCAATGAAGTGATGTTTGAAAGTAACCATTCTTAAAAATCTTGAGCAGGTGTAATCAGCATGCCCAATATCACAGAGCAAAACAGAACTGTACAAACTTCCAACTGAGATGTTTTCTTTAATTGTAGTGAAAACTTTATATACCTTAAACAGTTGTATAAACAAGCTAGAAAGCATGGACACACATTAACGAGAACATACAGACAAATCAGGGAATTCAGAAGGAGAAGGGTAAGAAAAGAGAAAAAATCGACATAAGAAAAAATCAACACAAGTGATCAATAACTTCACATTGGAAGTGTAATGAAATGTGAAAATAAGATAAAAATAATTACACCCAAATGGTGAAATCCAACACTTTCAAAAAGAATGAATTAGTGGTTAAAACCGTGTTTAATCCATTGTAGACACATGATTTGTTTATTTTTCTTAGTCTAGAAATTCTAGATGTCTGGAGGCATTCCATCATCCTCATGTGCGAGAAATCTCGTGTCTGACCTCGGTGTGGGTGTCATTGATCATCGCCGAAGTTCTGATCAAGGTCACAGAAACAATCTCACCACTCCTCACCATGTAGATTGCGTTAGAGAGTTACACACATTTTGTACTTAAGAAACAGCAACTCTTCGTCACAGTTTTTTCAGAGTCAAATTCTTATGGGTTCTGCAAGTTTCTGAGACTCTGTCGCAGCTTGGATTCATAAGTTTGAGCGTCGGAGGTCCAACGCCATCGTTTACAAATGCGCTGACATCACTCAATAAAACCACTCGTTTGGGTTGGTTTTCTCACTCACTCACTCACTCGCTCTCTCTATTTTTTTCTACATCATTTTTTTTTTTCATTTTTTTTCTTTTCTTTTTGTTTGTTTGGTTCCCCACACCCCCCCCCCTTTTCCGGGCGGAATGAGCAGATAGAAGGCAAAAGAGCTCTGGATGAAACGGTCTACACGTTGGTTTCATGTACGTTAAGAAAGCTCACGGTGGATACTTTTCGTTGCGAATGAAGAGTAATGTCCCGAAGTTTTGACGATCAAAAGGTGTTGGTCTCGAAAGAACTAAACTTCGTTGAAACTATAAACTGTGATTGAGTTTTGGATTCCGCCCTCAAATTTCACAATCCAAGCAATCATCAGCATGTAGGCATCATCTAGACAGGATTGAACTAACTCACTTGCTTTCATGTGGTCTATCTCGTCCTTAAACTGGCAAAACCCTGGTTGGTTTTAAAGCGATTTCAGCGGCGCCTCGCTACACACAGACGTCGATGTGGAGGAAAGCCGGTCAAGTCGTATGAGCGAGTAGCACCCCGAGGGCCTACTCAGCGGCAAGGCTGGTAGCAAATAGGGAGTCGACAATTTGGTTGTATCTTCGGGTGCGGTAGACTGCAGGTCCATGATCACCTGCCTTACCAATCGCATCGAAGGGCGTGCCTCCGGATTCGGCAAGCAGCATAGGAGGCCTAAATGCAAGAGATGAGCCATTTTGCACTCATCCGCGGATTTGAGAGTATCAACTTTCTGTGTGTCTAGACTCTCCTGAGTGGTTGTATCTGTGGAACTTTCGGACCTCTTAAGGAGTCTCATGTCCACAGCTCTCAGGATGTCTCCGGCTTCATGCGCCCTCCACACGCTTTGCAGCAAGACGAATTCCTCATCGGGACCCTCAGCCTGCAAATTCAACGGCCTCCTGCCGCACACAACTTCCAATACCAATATCCCGAAACTGTAAACGTCCGACTCCTTGGTTGCTTTGCCCGTGAAGGGTATCTCCGGCGCCATGTATCCCAGTGTACCTGCCACCAAAGTGGTCTCCCCCAACTTTTCGTGGTCCATCAGACGTGCGAGCCCGAAGTCTCCCAAGTGGGGGTTAAAGTCAGCATCCAGCATCACGTTGCTGGACTTAATGTCGCGATGGAGAACACATTGCACCCAGTCTTCGTGGAGGTAATCCAGGGCTGCAGCAACGCCGGCGAGGATGGAAGAACGCAATTCCCAAGGGAGTACGCCGGACCTTTTGTAATTGGGGCCGTTCGGGTGTCGACGACGACCGGGAAACAACCACCCATCGAGGCTGCCGTTGCTCATGTACTCATAAACGAGCAGATAATTGTTCTCCTCCTGACACCAACCCAACAACTGCAACAAGTTTCGGTGACGAATTTGGCTCACGCTAGATGCTTCTGCTACAAATGCTTTCTCTCCCGATCCCGACTTGTGTCTGGGACGCTTCACAGCAATCACTATACCTGACGGCGAGAGGATGCCCTTGTACACTGCCCCAGATCCACCGCTTCCTAGGATCATGGTCTCATCGAAGTTCCTGGTTGCCTTCCTAAGCTCCTTGTAAGTGAATGTACGGGGCCCCTTGAGATGCTCCAATGTAACTGCCTTACCTTCGCTTGAAACGTTCGAAAGGAATTTCCTTCTCGTGTATCTGCAGAAGAAGATAGCAACCGCTGTAGAGACAAGAAAAGCTGCAAAGGTGATGCTACAAATCAGTATCAGACTCCTGGTTGACAGCCGCATTACCGTCGTTGCAGGTGATGGGTCCTCTGCTAAAAATCTCTCAATTTTTCTCGAGAATGTCATGTGGCTCGTGGGCGTATCCCTGTAACATCACAAATTCTGTTCAGGTAGTTCGAAACAAGCGGTATACTCTCAGGATCAAGCGACATAGATGATACGATCGCTGCCACATAGAAAGATTGCCGATGTGCAGGAGAGTTCCTTACGAATACCCGACATGAACACCCTCTTGTTGATCTCTCCTGAGACCTCGGATCGTCAATGAAGAGTGATGAATGAGGAGAAAAAAGTGGCACAACGTGCATCTGCGCAAAAGGATTCCACATCAGCGGCGCATCTTTTAGTCTTACATTCCAAGCAAAACTTTGTAGTGAGAGTCGTGGTTCCCTAAAGTCAAGATTTCATGTGAGGGATCTCCACGATGCATACATTTCTCTTTTGATTTCGTATGTAAGTTTGCCGAATTGACCCTGCACAGAACTTTCCAATTAAACTGTTTATAATCTGGCTTGGGACATTCAAAAAACAAGTCAAATCCAGCAAACGTCACCCTTGCTCAGAAGAAATTGTAAGATACTCGTTCTTTACAAGCGTTACAGAAAGCGTTTGAATGTAGAATACGCGTAAGTACGTCAATTAGAAGCAACAGAAATGAATAAAACAAAACAAAAAATTATAAAACTACGATCATTAACTTCTTGTTCTACAGAAACTTTTCTTTAGGTTTCTGACATTACCATAACTTCACAACAATGATTCTGTAGTTATTGATGTCATGTTAGATTCCCTTTTTTCTTTTGATTTTTTTCCTATCATGAGAGATTCTTAAACAATTCATATACTACTACTGGAACCCTAGCACAGAGAAATTCTTGGATGCTTCATTCAAGCCACAAGAGCTCTTCAATCTCAACTGTGGAGTATCTAAGTTCACACCTGCTGATATACATGAAATAATGGCTGAGGAAATTTTGTGATGCATTGCATGATCTATTGACGTCAACAAGGTCAAACTGGAAGCAGAAGTCACCCACCCGTTGCCGACCATCTGAAATGACCCATTGCAGGTTGCCATCTACTCCCACACTCTGCACAAAAGCAATTCTTCTCAATAAGATTTTGTGGAGAATGAATTTGTCACTACTGGTGTGCTTTTGCAAACAGTTCTTTTACAACTGTGGGTTTGATTCACGAAGCCATCTCACTGATAAAATTTATGTTAAAGAATCGGACCGACCCGGGAAAATCTTATATATATATGTGTGTGCGTGTACGTGTATACATATAGATGTGGGTTAGTAGTGTTGTCTGTCTTACTGCTGGGCCGCGATGCAAAGAGACACACAAGCGCAGCATCTCCATGCTTACATGCAAAGAAGACCCTTCTACGCATCAGTGCGTGCTCTGACTATTGAGTCGATTTTCACTTCACCACACAGCACAACAAAAGACCACATTTACTCGTAAACAGCGTATTAGATCAGTCGGTGGTCACCATACGTATCGAAATGGATCGAGTGGCACTCTGCTAATAGCTCCATCTTCGAAGCCATATTCTCTTCTCCTCTCACCATGAAATGTTGCACGCTTTGCAGCATCTTTTCATAGAAAATCAGAACTTTGGCGCAATTGTGTCAGTGTAGCAAATCAGACTCTGGCAACATGGTGGTGAGTCGTGGGTCGTGAGACCTTGATCTGGTGATGCATTCGGGAGATGCGGCGAGAAGATACCAGGATTCCATGCATCGTTTTTCAGTTTCTGTTTTTCTGCACACTCTGTCCCAAACTGTTCAAATTTAAATAAGTTACTTTAACTATTTTTTAAAACAATTGGTGAATATCCGTGACATTGGTTGATGAGAGAACAAGAGGAACAAGGTTGCCTAGTTTTAATACAAAGAAAGGAATATAAAGCACTTCAGAAGTGGGTGATGTTTCTATGCTCAGGTTGCAGGATTGAGGACAGATGATGAAGCTAATGTAGAGAACTCTAGTATTCCAATAACTTGTCACATTGTCTTCAAAACACATTTGTTTAATTAATTTTTTTGTGAATTTACTTTCAAGTATTTCCTAAATCATATGTCTATGGTCAAAGATGTTAGATCATGTGGCTTGCCTTGGTTTGGAATTGTTTCATATTTTAAAATTATAACATTTTAATATTTAAATAATATATACAAATATTTTGTTTGAATAAGTGTCAAAGTTAAAAAAACCAAAAAAATGATTGTCAATTTTTTTTTAATCAAAATTAGTTTGTTTTAATAAAAATATCTTTTATAGTCTCTATTTTCAAGAATGTAAGAAAATTTTGTTTATAAGAAGTGTTTTAAAGAACTTAGTTCTTTAATCTTTGATGTTTTATGTACTTTTAATTTTTTTAGAAAATATCTTTTTACATGCAAAGAGTGTCAAAGATATGAATTAAAATAGAACTCTAAATAAAATTATAGTTTAAAATCATTGAAAGAAAGTAAATAAAGAAGAGATAGATTTAAAATAGAAAGAAGGCAAAATAGCCATTGGTAAACACAAAGAAGCTAAAGAGTCTTAGTCTTCTTGCTTTAAGCATTTAGTACATTATTTTTTCTTTTAGGAGATAAATAAGCATTTAATAAATTATTTCTTTTTCAAATTCTACAAATTCTACAATAAATAGTCAAGTTGCTTTATTTGTTGATGGAATCTAAGATCCGTTGAATGGTAGTAGCAAAAAAGTAGTTAATATATCTTTTTAATTATCAATAATATCTCATATTAAGAAAAGAAGATCACTTATTTATTAAGGTCTTTAAAACTACTCTCAAACAATACATTTTATATATTATCAAGTTTGGTATCTACTTCAAGTAGTATTACTAAGCATTAAAAGACTTTTTTAATAATAAGTTATCATATATATTATATCTTCTCATTTATTTAAGAAATGATAATTTTTTCTTTAGGATCTTTATTAAAATTGTATTATTATAATGATAGATTAAGAAAATACTTTATTTGGTAACTTTTTAAATTTCAATTCTTAAATTAAATATGCTTGTTGTTGATTTGTCATATTGAAAAGAAATCCACAATTAAATTAATATAGTAATTTCTCTTTGATTTATGCCATCTAATTGTTGATAGTTGATCTAAGGTTGATTAATGTATATTCTGAATGAAAATCACAAAAAAAAAAAAATGATGCATTTATAAGATTTCATAGATGTTTATTAATATTATTCATGTACAAATATACAAGAAATTTTAATTTATTTTGGTATTATCTTGAATTTAAGACTTCTTATATTTTAGATTTATAAATATTATCTATTTCAATAAAATGTGGTGGTGATAGTTTTTTCTTGATGTTTCAATAATATATGGTGGTATTAGTATATAATAAGGCTTGATAAGAAACTTGTTAAATATAATATAAATATTTATTAATTATAGTTATTATAATTAATATAAAATTAAATAAATATATTTTAAATAATAAATAAGCTTAGTCTTTAATAACCTATTTTTTATAAGATTAATTAGGCTTTATATTAAAACTAAATTCTTACATCTTATTACCAAATTTGGATTATGATTATAATTTTCTAAAAAAATCAACATTAATTCTCTATAGTTCTTAAATATTCTTTAGTTTGTTATGTGATGAGGCATTCGGTGCCAAATCTTATAAAATATTTGTTATTTAGTTTAGTATAGTGGTTTTTTATCCACTTGGTTTTTTTTAATTAGTTGACTTTATTAGTGCCAACTAGGATTTAAAGACTTAAGTGGAGAAACTCCATTGTTTTAACAAAAATTGATATACCAGAATATTACTCACAAAATATATTTAGAGTATAGTAAGGTATTCATACAAGAATGCAAAGCTATATTACATTATGATTTGGATTATAATACGAGTTGCAGAAGTTATACAACATATAAAAGAAAATACGGCACAAAGAGGTATTGCTTTGTTTGTAGCTTATTATTTAAATTTTTTTTTGCAATTGATCTTACAATCCAACATTCTAGCATAATTTTATCAAAAAGTGTAGTAAAATAATAATATTTTTTAATTTTAATTTTTTAATTTTTTAATTATTTTTACAAGGTTATTAGTTGGTATAAGATTTTATAGAAGTTGGTGGGCAAAGACATGTAGAACAATAATAGATATTTGATATAGTGTGCACTAGGTTGTACAACATAGTTATATAGTGATACAAAGTTTTGGTATGATACAATTATATTCTTTTTTATATTTTGCAAAAGTCAAAAAGAAGAAAAAAAAAAACATCCTCCAAAAGATCTTTGATTAAGACAAAATCTTACTAAGAGTAAATAAAAAAAAAAATCTTTAGTAGTATATATATATATATATTTTATATAAATAAAGAATTTATATAAAAAAATAAAAAATAATCAATTGTCATAATTAGCATCAATTGGTATTTGTTGGTAGCAAAAGTTGTGGCTCTCCATGGCAAGACGTGGCATATAGTAGCACTTAGCAACTAAATTAGTATTTCTTTGCAGTAGTTTGCAATACCATGCAGTACTTTGTGATAAATGGTGATAAGACAAGCTCAGAAATAGGAGCCATACAATAAAGAAAACAAAACAATCGTAGAATTATACGACAAGAAGATTTTGTGGTGACTTGAGACATATGATTAAATAAGCTAGGATGGTCATGAAAACCAATACATGGTTATAGGGCTTAACATTTTGAAAAAAAAAAAAAAAAAAAAAAAAAAAAAACTTTTTAAAATTCTTAAATATTGAATTTGGAAGTTCACTCGAAGAGCATACAAAGTCCAAAATTGATCATTTTTTAATCATTTTTATATAGAAGATGTTAAAAAAATCTAATGATATTCTTGATTCATAAATTGGAGATTATTTGGAGTATTAAAGTGACATTTATTCTATGCCATTTGTTCTTTAAGTGAATTTTTAATTTTTAACTTTTAATTTTTTAATATTTAATTTTATTACAATTTTTTTATTTTTATAATTTTTGTAATTTTTAACCATTAACCATAAGCATGTACCAATTACTTTACATCACTTTTGATTTGTGATATTCAATTGTAAGGAATATTGATTATTTTGTTTACTTGTAATTTTTTCTTTTGTATTATTAGAGATGAGAATCTAATATGGATTTTTGATTTTTGTCTTTAGCATCTTTTTTTAGTTATAGATATTATTTTTAGAGGTTTTTTTGATATTGTCCAATTTTGTATTGTACTAATTTATGTTGATAGGCATGTTATAGAAATAGGATTGGATTGATGGCAAACAAGATCATTTTGTTTGTCAACTTGTTAGCCATGCGATAATCTAAAAGTGATTACCAATGAATTGTAAAGATTAGTGGTGGTTGTTTGCATATGTTGTCCTAAAGCCTTTACGTAGTTGTAGGTATCCAAATAGTCTTTTTAATAGTACATACCAAGAATTGATATA